AATACAAAACCTGTACTGAAAGAATATGCCAATGTCAGAAGGATGCCATTGCCGAGCGCTCCTTCTTAAATGTTACATGGCAGCCATATTGATCGAATGGATTCAATGCGCTCTATGGAACTGATGTGCAACAAATATGCAGATCAGGACTTCCGACTTCACTTAAGATTTTCTAATCTGCCCGCTTGCTCCACATCCCGGAATCAAAGTATTGAAGTCAGAGACAACCAGGCGTCTAGCACCCCATCTCCAGATTTAGTATGGAACTACAGACAACCCAAGAACAAGTTTTCAAGACCTGGAAGTATTCCTACAAATCCAGGACAGATATAGATTATACAAACGGTTCCAAAGCATTACAACCAGACTACAGTGTATAACAATGAAATACTATGAAATATCTGAGTGATCAGGCAGCACTAGAGATGTCCTGTCATACTGGGAAACTATTTCAAGGTCACTGCCAGTGGGCTGAATTCTAGGTGCACATCACACACAACTGTCTGAAACTGTCTCACATTTCTCATACATTTATAATAAAAGAAACATGGTAACAGCCGCGACAATTTACACTGAGCATATTGTGAAAAATAATCTGAGTTTTTCCGTGATTTTGCCGCATACCGGTGCTTTATTTCTTTTAGCTTAAAATGGGCTTTCAGGTGCATTTGTATGCATTTTTTATGTGTTTCCATGCAATCCAGTGCATTCCAGACCAGACAAAACGAGACATGGAGTATTTTTCTGGTCTAACGGACTGCGCTCGCGTGAACCGAGGCCAGAAATAGCATAGGGATACATTAAGATGCATTTTGGGTCCGGAAACAATCTGGTCTGGAGATGATGTGGTGTGAATGGGCCCATTCACACCTCCCCCCCCCCCCCATCCGCAGTGTGATCGGACACGTGGCAAAACATTGCCTGCGCTCAGGTCCACTGCAAACGCAATAAATGCTGCATGCTCTATTTTTTGCGTTTGCAGTACACCCCCACGCCCCCTCCCGCCTCAGAACAAATGGGGACGTTTTGTGAGGGACTGCTGTGCGTTCCAGCAGCTACTGTTCTTGAACGCACCGCAATTGGGGTGAACGGTTCCTCAGTGAGTCTGACCACCACGTTAATCTACCAAAAATAAGAACAGCTCAAGTGCAAATCTCTATCTTTCCTATAAAAGTCTATGTTCGCCTCATCACCTCCCAAGCCTTCCTCTTGTCTACTGAGGCTAAGCACTACATTCATGAACCCAGGAGAGGGACAAAAGTAAACTCAATGGGGGGGAATTTATCAAAACTGGTGCAGACAGAATCTGAATGAGTTGCCCATAGTAACCAATCCGCTTCTCTCTTCAGTGTGTTCAGACAAGCTTAGAAAATAAAAGAAGCTGATTGGTTACTATAGACAACTGCTTCCCCTCATTGAATACAGAAGAAACTGATGAGTACGTTTGAATTGAACCGCCAATGTCTCTGTATCTGGGGTCTGTTGTGTCATGCAGCGAGTGTAACCTCGGCTTCTGCTTTTTTAAAACATTGGCTATAAATGACAGGTTTTCTATAAAAGGTGAGAATACCCAAAAGGGAGATTTCAGTTACAGTTGGAATCTTGTAAGCCGCGCCTCCAGCTAGATTCTTAGAAGGTTCAAGGACTAAAGCGATGATGTCACCCTGCCACAAGCTCCTCCCCTTCCTTATATACCATGTTTCCCTGGAAATAAGACACCGTCTTATATTTTTTTGGACTCAAAAAAACACACTAGGTCTTATTTTCGGGGTAGGTCTTACTTTTTTTTTTTTAATGTACAAGAATCCAAATTTAATGCAAATCAAAATGAAATAATCCAAAATGGCAAAGTCAAGAATATGGTGATCAGGGCAATCAGGGGCGCAGTACCTTTCCAAGAGCAATTTGCCAACCAATCGCTGGCCAGAATGAGCCAAGTGCGCTTTCACTATCGATTCCTCACAGACAGGGTGCATTTGGTATCACTCCGCCTGTGACAGGAGCCGGCGCTATAGAGGAGGCATCGGCTTATGGGGCTCAGCTCCCTCCGCTGCCGCCTCGCTTCCTCTAGCGCTGGCTTTGTTGGCACCGCTGATTCTCTCCGTGCGCTCTTCAAGTTCCCCCTTATGCCTCCACAGGCCCTGGGAAAGGTCACAACTAGGTCTTATTTTCGGGGTAGGTCTTATATTTTAGCAATTCCCAAAAATAGTACTAGGTCCTATTTTCGGGGTAGGCCATAGATTTCACTCCCTGCTCTGATCTCCAAAAGAAAGATTCTAAATCGGGACCCCGCATATGGCAGTGACAGGGGTGAAGGGCCCAGGAATTCACACATAGAAATCCCCCTGCAAAGGATGCAAAAAAAAGGAACTCTTTGTAAACAGCTAAACACACATATGAAGATATGGAATACATATACAGGAGCGTGTTTTACCTGTCAATGTCCATTCAGATTTACAAAGCCCGGACCCACAACACAGACATGCAGATGCCAAGTCTTGCTCTACTACTGGTATAAACTGCAGGACTACAGTGGTGTCCTCTACCCACCCTCAACCTGCTGACTAATTTGTGAAAGAAAAGCAGTACATTGATCAAGCCGTCACTCTGCTCTCTCCTCCTATTAGCATGTACCTAATAACTTCCCAGTTACACCCCCTCCCTCTCCTAATCAGAGTGCTGCTGTATAAAGGCCTGGTTCACATCTGAGCATTTGGAAAACGCGCCAATTTGTACGTTTTTGTGCGCGATTCCCGCACACTCTTGAAAAGAGCTTGCGGTGCCATTCATTTCTTATGGCACCCCAAATGCTGCCCGCAAATATGGCAGTTTGCCACGTGTGCAAATGTGGCACACAAAAAAAAACCATAGGTCACTCATCGCATAAAAAGGTGCAGGAGCCTTTTTGCTGCGCGGTTATGACCCCACTGAAATCGACGTGATCGAGTGGGAAATGCGGTGTGCAAACGCGCATCCTGGGAATGCTCAGCTGACCTCTACCAATCTCTTAGTCCCCGTTCACACTAAGCTGTTTATCGCGCGGATTTGCGCTGCAAAATCGCGCATATTTCCACACGATATCACTATGTAGTTCTTTCGATGCATTTCAATGGAGCTGTTCACATCTTACAGCTCAATGTCACCTGTAGCTCGTCGCTAGTACATGACCCTTTTTGCGCGGCTGTCGCGCGATTTTGCTCGTGATTGCTTGCTGCCCAATACAAAAAGGCGCACGTATGAAAAATGCTTGTTTTTCTTGTCGCTCAGTGTGAATGGGGTGATAGGCCTGGTTCACATCAAGTCAAACTCCGAGGTATACAGCACCCACGGGGATCCGTAGATACCAGACAACTCTCATGCAAACAAAACCTACAGTTAAAAGGAGCTCTCAAGCAACCCTAACCGCTCAGCCACCCCAACTCTGGATCACACCTTTCGCCCTTCCCATTTCTTCACAAAACTCCTTGTATTATTTTCCCAGAATGCAACATGTTGTGCGAGTGGGCAAATTACAAGATGATCATTCACAGAATGCCTTGATTCCGGGGGAAAACACAAGGTGTTTTTGTGAACAGGTGAGGACACAGGAAAGGGAGAGGGCAAAGGTCATGATCCTGCAGAGCAACAGCCATAGCCTCTTCTACATGATTATTACACTAAGCAAAGCCAACAGAAAGCAGGATACACATCCCTAGAGGTTCATTGTTACGCTGGTACTGTATGGCAAAAAAACTTTTTACTAAACTATCCCACAATGGGATACAGCTCGCGGTATACTGAGATGCCGCAGCGGATGCCGACATCGATGTCGAGATCCGCCCAGCTGCGTGAGTGACAGCTGGTTCTGCCTATCTAGAGGCAGAGCCAGCTGTACCCGCCCCCTCCCCGTCTGTTCCGCCAGTCAGCGCTGGCGGATCAGAGCGGGGAATCCAGCAGAGAGCCGTGACAGGATCGGGAGGTGAGTGAACGCCGGTATGTGTTCACTCACCTCCCGATCTACTGAGCCGACCTGTGACAGTCTCATTGTCACAGGTCGGCTAGAACTATGAGGTGAGTGGAAATCACTCATCTCATAGTTCTCCTTTAAGGATCCCAAATCCCATGAGAACATGCTACTGTACAAGAATTGGGATCCTGAGCTTTCCCAAGATCCCTCTGTGAGGCGCAGTGACATCAGCAACAGGAAGCAGCTGGAACCCGGGAATAAGGTTAGTATTCGTAATGCATTCTCTTATATGGGTATATAATGCAGTGTTTTGTTAGCAGAAGGTGAGGCAACCACATATGCAGACCTTACATTTTAGTGCAAGATGCTTCAATCATATTCTGTCCTTATGCCATGCATCTCTGCAATACATGCACATCCCCTATATCACTTCAAAGATCCCACAAGTACAGAAATATACCTGTCCATCTGCCAGAAAAGGAATCAGCTCCTGAGGCCTGTTGTGGGCTTTTTGTGGACTGACTGGTGTCAGCACTGCCCAGTGTATTTTGCTGAACTACCCATCCACACCCACAACATAAAGACTGATCATTCTGTAATCTAAGAAAAGAACTATAAGGACTCTTGTCCCTGAGCCACTGACACGATGGGAAAGGGAACAAGTTGTTAGACATTACATACCCTTGAACTGGGAATGACTAACAGATACTAAGCAGGAATAGAAAGCAGAGAAAATCAAAAACAATCACCACATTAAAAAGGCCAAATACAAATTCACAGATCCGAGCATCACCGGATCACACCGCCTACAATAACTGGTGAACATCTCAGCGATCAGACAGCAGTGAAGAGGACCTGTCATGCAGGACATGTGGCTGTCACCGGTGCGGTGGATGTCACATGACAGGTGAGTCTCTCCTGGTTCTCACAGGGGCCTGCAGAGGTCGGTGCCCGGGTCACCCTTCATCCTAATGTCAATTTTCTATCAGCAGCATAGCAGGCAGGCCTCCCTCATCCCACCCCGGGCCCCTGCCGCCTTTCCCCCCACACTTACTCTCATTTAACACCTCCACCAGGTCGGCGCAGATCTCACACATCGTTCAGGAAGGAGCCGCGTCCTGAGCATGGAGATGGCGCTACCCGCGGCCCGTCAAGCCGGTGAATGCGGTGCTTGTGCAGCCTGCAAGGCCCAGAGACGTGTATGGGGAGGAGGAGAGAAGACTGGGCTATCGGCGGGGCGCTCTGGAGGCGGCCGGATGAAGCAAGGAGACAGTGCAACGAATACAAATGACTTTATCCCCCAAAGCGACCGTGGCGGCGACACGCAAATTCCCTCACTGCTTCCACCGAACCATCATCATCACCACAGCCGCCGCCATTTTGGTTGGGGATGCTCGCTTCTCCTCGGCTGTTTCCGGGAGCGCTTCGGGTGTTCGGCAGTGTGGACACGCCCCGCCGCTCATCTGACGTGTCACATGACGAGGGCTGACCGGGGCTCTGAGTGTGGGTGTGCTCTTCCATGATGTGACCCTGGCAACAGGGAACAGGAGAGATGAGTTCTCCCTGCTTGTGTGTTCCTTGGAGAGCAGCTGTGCCTGTGACATGCAAACTTGCCCACTATGAATGTGAAGGGTTAAAGAAGAACTCTCTACGCTGGCATTGCAGGGGTTAAGTGCTCGTGTTCGTCTAGGGACAAAAATAACAACTTAACCTCAACCTTGGAGCTGGCCTCATTCACACCTAGGCGTAGTGGGAACGTCTGTCACATTTGTGAGCGTTTGTGATCATCATGCTTGTTTGCTGCACATTACAATTGATTTCAATGGGTTCCTATACACGCGGCAAACGCAGAAAAGTAGTGCATGTCGCAAAATCTGCAGCATGGGGTCCTTGTGTTTTTCCACTGCGTTTGTCCGTGTTTTAACGCACACAAACTAGGAGGAGGAACACGTATATTTCTGGTCACATTTGGGGTGCCATTAACTAGTAATTTGTTGCGCATTTCACGCGTGTTCCCGCTATACCTAGTTGTGAACGGAGTTTTAGACCTGTCCCTGCCGCCTGTCTCCTCTGCTGCAACAATGGAATGTCCCTCAGCATCTTCTGCATAGGAGGTGATGACTCAAAGGACCTTAGATCACGGATGCGGAGGGGGCAGGGACCAGTCTAACAGCTGCCGGCTCTGAGGTTTAAGCTGGCCATACACCTTAAGGTGCCCATACACCTTATGATTATCAGACGAAACGTTTCGTCCGATGATCGAACCGTCGTACGATTTTCGTACGACTGCCCCGATTATCACTAGGTTCAATCAGCGGTAGTTTTAAAAAAAACACCTGGACGACTTGCGGTAATTGACCGCAATTATGTTAGTTTGCGCATGCGCAGTGTTAATCGTACGACTTTTGACGGACGGAAACGCCACCAACCATGCGAACATCGTACGATCGACCTAAGTTTTCAAACATGCTTGAACATCAAAAGTCGTACGATTGTACAGTACTATCGGTCAGGCACTCTATTCACACGTTACGATTGTTGTACGAAAAGTGGATCGCATACGATTATCGTACGATAAGGTGTATGGGCACCTTTACAATTATCTGCAGAGTTTCTATGGTCAGATGGAAAAAGTGCAACAGATTCCTCCATCTACGCTAAACTATGTGGATGGAGGAATCTCCCGCTGGGCCAACCTTCAGTATCTTGCTAGTCGGCCCCGCTGGCTCTCAAAATACCTGAACAATGCTTGCATCCAATCAGATTGTTCAGGTATTTTGAGAGCTGACCACGTCCATCCCTATATGATTACAGTGTACCCATCTTCTGATGGCTACTTCCAGCAGGATAATGCACCATGTCACAAAGCTCCCATCATCTCAAACTGGTTTCTTGAACATGACAATGCGTTCATTTTACGACACTCGGAACAAGGTTAGAGATTTTTTGGATATATTCTGGTGTCTCTTTTGCAAACAATGGATGAAAGTAACAACAGGTGCATTACAATTGGGCCTTTAGTGTTTGTGGTGCTTTCACACCGTAGCCCTTCAGTTATTCTTGACGAGTGCAGGATTGGACCCTTCTGTAAAATATTCAAATTATATATACCTGTCACACAGGTGGGGAAAAAATGGGCCTTTGGTGTTGGTGCCTCCACACTGCAACCCCTCACAGTTAAGCTGGCCATACACCTTACAACCATCGCACGACTTTCGTCATGCGATGGTTGTAAGGTAATTAAAAGCTCGTACGATCTGCCTATCTTGGACAGGCAGATCGTACTTGCGATCATCGCAAGCCCCGCCCCGCTGAGAGGAGGGCTTCCGATGATTCCAGTGCTGAGCGGGCAGTGTGCGCTTGCGCACACCGGCCCGTTCGGCATTTGTCTTCCGAGCACGCCACTAACCCGACGAAAATCTTACGATTTTTGGCAGGTTTTCAAGCGTGCTCGGAAGACAAAAGGCGTGCGACCGTACAGTAGAAACGGTCGCACAGTGCCCATACACCTGCCGATTATTGTACGATCGCGGGATCACCCACAATTATCGTACGATAATCGGCAGGTGTATGGGCACCTTTACTCTTGATGAGCGCAGGAATGAGCCCTGGCGTAACAAAAATTCAAATTATATGGACCTGTCACACACCGGTCTCTTTGTTGGTCTTTCAGACATGACGCGGGGCTTATTATAACATTTTATTAGAGAATGTGGGATGGGAAATTGGTGCTTGGGTGCAATACTTTATTGAATGTGGTGCTTGGTGCGCTATAAACTGTTGTACAATGGCTTATTATGGGGAAAAAAAGAAAAAAAATTTGGGAACACCTGTGATGCAGAAGGGGGAACAGCATTGAGGCTGCAAAAGAACCTGCTGCTGACAAAAAGTTTTTAAAAAATAAAATAAGCGACGCCAGTGACACAAACAAAAGAAAAGAAAAGACAGTGAATATACAGCATATAAAGCACTGACACCAGTTATCTTTCCCTGCACTACACTGACAGCAGCACTCTATTATTAACTCCTGCAACACACTACATAAGGCTGCGGTGTAAGCAGACTTAAGGTGCCCATACACTGCACGATTATCGTGCGAGAATCGCGGGAAATCCCGCGATCGTACGATAAACGCAAAGTGTATGGAAGGCGTGCGACCGTTTCTACTGTAAGGTCGCACGTCTTCCGCCGAACAAGCAGGCTGGAAAACCCGCCGGGAATCGTACGATGCCCGGCGAGTTAGTGGCCTGCTTGTTCGACAACTGCAGAACGGCCGGTGTGCGCACGCGCACACTGCCCGTTTGCAGTCATCGGAAGCCTGCCCCTCATTGCAGTCATCGGAAGCCCGCCCCTCCAGAGAGCCGTGACAGGATCGAGAGGTGAGCAAACCTGGTATGTGTTCGCTCACCTCCCGATCTACTGAGCCGACCTGTGACAGTCTCATTGTCACAGGTCGGCTAGAACTATGAGGTGAGTGGAAATCACTCATCTTTTAGTTCTCCTTTAAGAGAATACTTACCCTGCTTTATTTGCCATTGGTCAAGGCTCCATGGTACAACACGCTATAGTTTTAAATGGTCAGTTTGGGATTTTCACCTTCTTTGAAGCGGGTCTCCTGGATGAATGTGATGTGTGCTCACATTTTGTTACGTTCACATAGTAGAGCTTTAAACATTATGAGGTACAATTTTAATGTTAGCCATTGCAGAATTAATAGTTCTCCCTGGGCCATACTAAGGGCTTGTTCACACCAAATGCAGACCAGATCTGCATGAGTTTCTGCGCACGCAGTGCAGTGGGTTGTGCCGCGTTTTGCAGAGTTTTTTTTTTTTAGTTTAGAATGGGCTTTCAGTGCGTTACAGGTTTTTTATGAGTTTGCATGCGTTCCAGAGCAGGTAAAATAGGGCTTGCTGCAGTTTTTTTACATGCTCTGGAATTGAACGCTGCGGTGTGAACTAGAGCCCAAAATACCATTGGAATACATTGGACGCAATTTTGATCCGGTCTGTAACTGCTCTGCTCTGCTCCTGGAACGTGCTTGGTGTGAACAAGGCCTAAGCATTGGTTCCAAAAAATTCTCTAAATCAGATATGAGCAACTTATGTGAGGAAAATGGTCAGCAATTAGAGGGGTGTCCGACAAATGTAAAGGAAACAGTTCAACTGACTTTAGACTTTAGGCCTGGTTCACACCTGGGCGTTTTGTAGCGCGTTCGAACGCTCTGCAAAACGCTCAAACACCGAAATCCCATTATTTCCCATGGGTATGGTTCACACCTGGGCGTATTACAGGCCGTATGAACGCGCTACAAAACGCCCTACACCCAAAGAAGTACAGGAGCTTCTTTGGGGCGTTTTTGTCGCGCGTTTCCATTGGGATACAGCCAAGTAGCCCTCTGCAAATATTCGATATGCCTAGGTGTGAACCCAGCCTTAGACCTGGTTGCAGATAAACAGAGCCCACTTTATTACTTTCTGTGGTGGCGGAGGTCATTTTTTACACAGTTGAATATTGATATTGGGGAGGGGGCGGGGTTTAGGGAAGAGAGCCTACGGGTTGCACACTTGCAGAATATACAGTACACCATAGTTTCCCTTGAAAACTACTGGTTTCTTTAGGTCAGCAGGCCCAGTCAGGTAAAATGTAGTTTGTGAATAAACTACATTTTACCTGACTAGTGTGTCACTACAATCAACAGAGCCGACGTTTCGGGGCCTCACAGGGTCCCTTCTTCAAGGCAGTAAAATTGTGGGTCACAATTTTAGTGACACAATTGTCCATTAAAAAAGGACATATTTATTCTAAACGAGTGCTGGTGACCTGTTTCTTTTACTGTGAATAAAACAACACATCAGTGTGTTTTTTTTTTTCTAACAATCTACTTTGATTTTAATGTAAATAGTCTACATTATACAATTTCTAGAAAGTCTATGGCGTTGGGAACACCTTGCAAAGGTCGAAAAAAAATCAGTTCAAAATATTTTTGGCTGTTCTACAGAACCAAAATAAACTTTTAGATGTTGCTAACGTAAAGCAGACAGCAACTCCGTTCATAGCATTGGGCACCACATTACTTTGAGCTCATTATCTGCCCTATAGTGTAATATTATTTGTTAATGTTAGTTCAAACCCTTTCACGGTGTCAGTTCACCCAAAGGTGATATTTTAGCAAAAGTGCAGTTTGGTGCGCTTTGTCAGCCCCTGGCTTCTTGTATATCTTGGATACTTAGTAAGCTCTATTCCTGTCCACTTCGGAGTTCTTGTTGTTCCTGCCAACCTTTCCATGTTCCATCAACTCCTGTTGCATTCTCTATATTCTAAAATAAATGAATCATCCAACGGGGAGAATGGATTTCTCATCAACATAGAATCCAGCTGATGGGCATTCCATAGGAAACGGGCCCGGCTGATCTCAAGCATACCGTTCAAGCCATCTTCAGCTTGCTACTGGAAACAGTAGTAACCAAGGTTTTTTACAAGATTGAGCAGTTTTATTGCACCCAAGGCCACAGGCAACCAGAATCTAATAGCTGCAGGGTGTATTTTTACAAACGTAGAGACCATCTTTGTCTTTATAGACATTTTATTTA